TAAGGAGGAGAGCTGAGGGAGTGGGAAGATGTGCTGACATCTCTCCTTGTTTATTATCCCAGGCAGCCTGCAAATGAGAGGGATGAGAACAGCAGCATGGAGAGCTGTTGGCATCTCTGCAATAGTGTTACACATTTAATTTATGCTGTTAATATAGATCAAGAAGTTTTGTGTCCATGGAACTGCTGCAGGGAGGACTGACCTTTCCCAAACTTGGCTTGTTTTCTGTTGTGCTTTTGGGATCATCTGGAGCTAATCAGGCTGCTAACTTAAAAAAATCAGTTTTGCCTAAAAATATAGACAATCACTTTTGTTTTCAGTGGAACAACATTTGCTGTAAGTAGAGGGTTGGGTTGTTTGAAAATAAGTTTCAGTGTTCCAGCTCCACTGTGCACCAGCCTTGATTTTAAATTTATGACTCTCCAAAATGAAAAGTAAATGGATTGTGTTATTCCCAACCCTTTTATAAAAGTTAACATTGCAAAAACAGATGTGAAATGTGGCCTCGCAGATTACAGCCTGAGCTTGGGGTTTTTAGGTTGGGGTTTTATTTTTTCCTTACTCTCTCTGTGCTGTGTCCCTGAGGAGCAGAAATCTGCCTTTTTCCAGCAGGAGGAAAATTGTTCTGTGTCTGAATTGCCTCCTGCCAGGCTTGTGTGGATGCTGCAGGACACGGAGCTCCAAGGAACGATAATGCCTTTACAAAAACAGGCAACTTAGCAGGGAATTTTTAATTAGGAATGTGCAGGAAAGTTCAGATTGCCTGGGAATTTGGTAATGCTGTAACAAACCTCCCAGTCCTAGGACATCCATTCCAGTATGGCCCTGGGAGACGGTGATTAAAGGCACTGGCAAGCAGGTTATTATCTCCAGCTTCCTTCAGGAGGCAGGTGAGCATGTCCTCACCTCCCACACCAGGCCTGGATGTGCTGGGATCTGGGAAAGTCTGGGCCAAGCCTGGAGCTGCCCTGCTCCAGGTCAGTGGGGGCTGAGGTGTTGGATGCTGTGTTCAGCCTGGAGAAAAGGAGGCTCAGGGGGAATTTCTGGCTCTGCACAGCTCCCTGCCAGGAGGGGACAGCCGGGGGGAACAGGGCCAGGAGAGGGAACAGCCTCAGGCTGGGCCAGGGGAGGCTCAGGGTGGACAGCAGCAGGAATTTCCCCATGGAAAGGGTTGTTCACTGGCAGGGGCTGCCTAGGAAGTTTTGGAGTGCCCATCCCTGGAGGTGTCCAAGGAACACCTGGATGTGACACTTGGTGCTCTGGGCTGAGGACAAGGTGGGGACTGGGCACAGCTTGGACTCGATGATCCTGACACTCTTTTCCAGCCTCAGTGATCCTGGGATTCTGGGACAGGGCTCTGGGCCACCAAAGCCTTGAAGGGCTGGTTGAGGGGACAGGGAGGTGTCTGGAGGTGCTGGTGGCAATTAAGGTCCAGCAGAGGAGTGGGGGCCCTTGCAGGGCATCCGTGCTGCACAGCCTGACTTGGGGTGCAGGACAGAGCTGGAACAGTCCTTCAGGATTTCTTGTATCATTTCCCATCTCTAGTGTGTTAAAAAAAAGCCCAACAAACACCAGGAAAAAGTTACTTCTCTGGCAGAAGAGGTAAAAGGGCTCCGTCACTTCCATAAACCTCACATACATAAATTATTGTCTTCTATTAGTCACTTAAGGGCTCAGTTGCTTAATTATTTTGATCACAGTAATCATTTATTTACAAGGTGGGGAAAAATGCCAAGCACTTCCAAGCCGAGCAGCACAGCAGGAAGGAGGCAGGGCTGCAGAAGCATTTCTTTCCTCCCCACAAGTCAAAATGCTTTTGCTTCATGGAGTTATGAAGTCCCTTTTGAGGTCCCTGCTGAGATATGATGCTCTGATCCACAGCCTTTGATTCTCCCCCAGGAAAGAAGTTCAGCAAAACCAGCTGCAGGTCCCTGTGCAGGAAAAGGCTCCAGGGAGAGCTCAGAGCCCCTTCCAGGGCCTAAAGAGACTCCAGGAGAGCTGGAGAGGGACTGGGGACAAGGGATGGAGGGACAGGACACAGGGAATGGCTTTAAACAAAGGGGGTAAGCTTAGATGGGATATCAGGGAGAAATCCGTCCCTGTGAGGGTGGGCAGGCCCTGGCACAGGTGCCCAGAGCAGCTGTGGCTGCCCCTGGATCCCTGGAAGTGTCCAAGGCTGGGGTGGACAGGGCTTGGAGCAGCCTGGGCCAGTGGGAGGTGTCCCTGCCCTGGCAGGGGCTGGGACTGGATCAACTCTGAAGTCCTTCCAACCCAGATCTTCCATGGCTCTGTGAGTATTTGGGGGGTGAAGGGGGAAGGAGGCATCTGGTAGAGTTTAAGTGGATCTCTCTCAAACCTCTTTGCAACCTGAAGGTATTTGGGTTTTCTCCTACAAGTCTGTCTTCCTACCAATCCCCAGCCCAAGAACTTGGTCTCACCTCCTCAACCCCCACCTTCCAGCTTCCCCTCTGTGTCTCCCACATGTTTCTGCTTAGGAATCCACCGTGCCTTCCCTGTTTCCCAGAGAAGGCTGCTCTGATCCTCCCCTAATTCCATTAGAGTCCATTAGGAGCTCCTTGCCACAGCTCCCGGAGGAGCGCGGGGCAGAGACCGCAGGAAAACAAACGGCCCCTCTCAACAAATCCCAGGGCCGAGTGCCAGGCAGGGATTCCCAGCTCTTTACAAACCACCCTCCTAATAAAGAGGTAAAATGGGGAGGGGGGAAAATATGCATTTTCTAATCACCCAGATTTAGGCCTTCAAAGGATTTATTACAACTTTTTATTTCCATGCGTGGAAAATGGAATCTTACCTCCTGAGCCGGCTGGTCCAGCTCGACTGGGTTTAGAGCAGGGAGCTCTCAAACAACGTTCAGGGCCGTGCCTGGGTGTTAAACTTGCTGGAATGCATTAAAACATGGCACTGGGAGAGGGGGAGATGCGAGCACTCAGCAATGTGATGCCTCCAGCAGCTGCTCGTGCCGTGGAGCAACAACGGGAGCCGCCGGGATTGGAGGGAGAAAGGAAACAACCAGCCCAGCCGTGTGCTGCCATCCCTGCTCCCAGAGCCAGCCAGCCTGCTGTACCTGGGATTGTAGAGGGATCAGACACGAGGGCTTGGAGGAGATAAATGCAGTGAACCTTGAATTTTAATTGCTGCTGTTGGGGAGCCGGCGCCGGGGCGGTTTGTGCCCCTGTGCCACGCTGGGGAGCAGTGCCGGTGACATTCCGAGTGCAGCAAGCAAAATCCCATTAAGATAACGTCACGGCCTCTCTGTTTTACTGTTTGCAAACCAGCCCTAACATCATTAAATTACACGACAGGGAGGTGCCTGCTGCCAAGGGGCTCTGCTCGAGATAAGATGTGGGTTGAGCCGCTGCCAAAATTTGGGTTGATATGACAAGAAATTTGGAGCGGGTTCAAGGCTTGATTCACACCAGACATGGCACTGTGCAGGTAAACATTGGGCAGGATTGATCCCTGGGGCTGTGCAGGTAGCTGGCACTGCAGAATCCTGGGCAGGATGGGGCTGGAGGGGGTTGTAGCAGATTTACAGCTCTTGTGTTCAGCACTGACAAGAAGCCAGAGCCCAGCAAGGTGAAGCTTAGGGAATTTTGCGGGTTCTTACCTCTGCCGTCCCCTCCCCAGCCCTTCTGGGGAGTGGGAAGGAGCCTGAACACCAGGACACTGCTCAGAGAAGCTGCTTGTTTTGTGATGCCCCAGCTGCACCAGCAGGAAAAGGGGTGAGAAGAAAGATCTGCATCATAAAACCCCACGCAGCCTCTAAGAGCCCTGAAGCCAGCCTTGCTGGTCCCTCTGTGCCACCCGCCATGTCCCTGCCACGCTTGTCCGTGGAGGCTTTGTGCTTCTTGTGCTTATTGTGCCCTTTTTTATGCCCATTGTGCCTTTTTTTTGTGCCTCTTCATTCCTTTTTTTAGAACTTTTGTGCTCTTTGCTGCTGCAGGTGTGGAGTTTTGCTCCAGGCTCTCCAGACCTGAGTTTTCTCTCATGGATAGTCTAGACTTCAGCTCCATCTTTCAGATCTGTGAAGAGACCTCACCCAGCACCGTCCCCACCTTGCCATCACTCAGCAAAATTGGCATTAATGACTTTTCTTTCCTGCAGCATCTTCCAGGCAGGGAATTGATCCCCAACCAGGGCTCTGGAAGAAGCCTGGGCTGTGTGTGCAGAGATCCCCTTGTCACCCCATCCTCCAGGACAGGACATCAGGAAGAAAATACTTGAAAATGATGCTTTAGAAGCAGTTTTCTAAGCGTTTTCCATTAGGGAAGCTTTGATTCCTTCAGAGGCTGCAGAGAGCCTGCCCTGCCCTGGGACTGCCTGGCGCTCCAGCGCTGCTATTACAGCTTTCCCTCGTGGCCCTGTTTCTGGCACTGCTGATTTTCGGGGTCCCAGATGGGTCCTGGCCATTGCAACAGCTCAGTACAAAGTGGCTGGGAAAGTGGCTTGGAATTCCTGTTACTGAGCTGTTCTCCACAGAGGGATGGAGCTGAGTGTCCAGGCACATCCCTCACATCCTTCCATCCCAGCAGTGGCTTTGCACACCTTGGTTGTGGGTTTAAACTGACAGAGAATGGGTTTAGATGGGATGTTGGGAAGGAATTCCTGTCTGTGAGGGAGGTGAGACCCTGGCACAGGTGCCCAGAGAAGCTGTGGCTGCCCCTGGATCCCTGGAAGGGGTCAGAAAGGACCATCCCTTTCCCAAGAGTTATTTCCTGCACATCTCTCTGTGTGACCTCTCTCCCAGCAGCTGGAATGCCTCACCCTGGCCTGCAGTTCCAGGAGGTCAATCCTTGTTTTCACATAACACAGGTGCTCATTTCCAGTGCTTTGGAATATCAAAAGCAGCTGGATGAGCCCTTCTCACCCGGGGAGAGAGGTCCTGCAGATGGGCAGGGTGTGGTGGAGCCCGTGCTGTGGGTCCTGTGTGTCACCCTCACAGGTGAAGATGAGATACACTCACTGTGTGCCTGTTCTAGGTGACACCGGGCCTGGAGGGACAAGAGGGGGAGCTGCTGGTGAAGGGCCCCTCGGTGTTCCGCGAGTACTGGAACAGACCCAAGGAAACCGCGGATGCCTTCACGCCCGACGGATGGTTCAGAACAGGTACGGGAAGGGCTCCCCCAGCAGCTCTGGGTGGGTGCACAGGGTTGGAGAGGGGCTGGAACTGGGGCTGGCAGCTGGGAGTACAGGCTGGATGTGTTTCCAAACGCTGGCTCGGGAAGGGGCTTTGCCTGCATCGGCTGTAGTGAGTCACCGAGTAGTGGGGGGTGTTTGGGGTGCTTTGCTCCTAAGCATGAAATAACACTGCTTAATGTTTTCCTGGGAATTCAGCTTTGCAGACAGGTGGGATTTGTCTCCATTTACACAGGGACTGTGTCACAGAATCATTAACTACCAGCTACAAACCCCTGAGAGGAGGGTGTGGCCAGATGGGGGTCGGGCTCTACTTCCAGGCTTCCAGGGATTTGAGGAAATGGCCTCAAGCTGTGCCAGGGGAGGCTCAGGTTGGACATCAGGAGGAATTTATTCACGGAAAGGCTTGTTCATTGGCAGGGGCTGCCCAGGGAGATTCTGGAGTCCCCATCCCTGGAGGTGTCCAAAGAATGCCCGGATGTGGCACTCAGTGCTCTGGGATGAGTGGCAAGGTGGGGATCAGTCACAGGTTGGACGTGATGACCTTGGAGGTCTTTTCCAGCCTCGGTGATTCTGGGATTCTCTGATTCCATGTTATCCACAGCTCTGGTTTCCCCACTCCCCTCTTGACTGTGTGTTAGCAGCGCTGTGGTGGCTGGAGTCAGGCTGCATTTCTGATCCCTTCTGTGTAACCTGATTTATTGTTGGTTCCTGAAGAAGCTGTGATTTATTCTAATTGTTCTCCCGAAGCAGAGCTCACTCTGCCAGCAGTGTCACCACGAGTCCCCGGGCCAGGCGGGTACCGCGGGCTGGGACCGGAGCGTCACCAACCCTCACGTGGGGTGCAGGGCAATCAGCTTTAAAAATTTTTTTAGTCAACACTCCTGATGAATATTTCAGCTGCAAAGGAATAGCGTGCATTAATTATTGCAAAGAGATGTCTTTAGGAGAAAATGATTTTGAAATTCAGTTTAATTTCATTGTAATGCGCCGCAAACAGGAAGGGAGTATGTGTGTTTAATTGGCTCTCGGGGGTAAGGCCGGGAAGATGGCATGCCTTTGTCACAGGCCATTAGTGATACAGACTGCATAATGAGGGACTACAATCAGCTCACAGCTGCCGGCTCCTACGGGGAGAGAATGATATTAAATAGAAATCAGTATAAATTAAACTTAACCCTTTCACCAACCGAGCAAAGCTCAGCGCTGGAAACAAGGGAGGGGAGCAGTGACAGGAGTGGGGGGTTCAGGGTGGGTCAGGGGGTGCTTGGAGAACCCCCCAGCAGCCAGGTGACCTCCCTGATGTCCCTCTTCCCTCGGGCAGGAGGCTTGAACTCCCGTCCCCATCCCTGCCCCCACTCTGCCTTAGCTTCCTTTCCTCTCCTCCCTCCTGCTCCGTCTCTCATGGACATCAGGTCGATGGGACTGGGTTTTTCCCAAGCCTCATTTATCCAGCAGTGCCAGGAGCCATCCCATGGCCCCATCCTCACCCTGCCTGTCCCAGCCTCATCAGCAGCCTCTGGAGATCACTCAGAGGTGGCAAATGTCCTGTGGAGGTAAAAAAGCCTTGAGGGAATGAAAGGGGTTGTGTCCTGTCACAGGGTTTGGATCTGGAGGGTGAATTATCCCCATTAAGCACAAATTCGTTACCCTGGAGCCAAAACCATACTGGCAGGATCCAACAGAGGTGAATCCTGGCCTCAGCCAGGCTGTAATTCCCTGTATCTGCCACTTCCAGGTCATCCAGGTGAGTGTTTTACAGAGGAGGCTGAATGTCAGCACACAGTGTTCCCAAAACCCTGGCGATGGCATTCCTGACTCCGTGCCAGCATTCTGCTCACTGCCCACCCTCATGGGTGTCCCCAACAGTGACCTGCAGGCTGCAGCTGCTGGCCAAGGCCCTCAGGGCTGGGCTTTCACAGAATTATGGAATGGTTTGGATGGGAAGGGACGTTAAAGCACATCCCTGCCATGGTGCCACCTTCCACTAGACCAGGTTGCTCCAAACCCTGTCCAGAAAATCAGGGGGAAAAACCAGTGACTTTGATGAATTCAAGATTGTGGCTCTTCTGAGAAGCCTCTGAACTCCTGGTGGTGCGGAGGGGATGTGCTGTTGCTCCCATCCTCTTTATTCCCTGAGATTTGCGCTGCTGTCTGCCGATCCCTCCATCTCTCATTTCCATCCGAGTGAATTTGATTATTTTTATTGTATTAACACTGTTGACAGAGCTGCCGAGATCAAAGTCCCCTCTAGCCATTTCCAGGGAGACTGCTGGGTTTCCACCTGCTGTCATACATCCAAGTGGCACCGAGTCCTCGCAGGCTGAGCCGAGCCCAGAGGAACGACGCCCGTGGGCATCTGGCTCCTGTCCCTGCTGAGCCTTCCCAGCTGTGCCAGGTCCTGCCAGGTGAGAGGCAGCCTCCAAACACTCCGTGATGCCCTGAGGGGAGGGGAGGAGAAAAGAGGGAAGGTGTTTTTTTAGGATGAGGCCCTGGCACAGGTGCCCAGAGCAGCTGTGGCTGCCCCTGAATCCCTGGAAGTGCCCAAGGTCAGGCTGGACAGGACTGGGAGCAGCCTGGGATAGTGAAAGGTGTCCCTGCCATGGCAGGGGTGGCACTGGGTGCTCTTTTAGGTCCCTTCTAACCCAAACCATTCCATGATCCTATGAGCAAAATCAAATCTGAAGGAAAAGCAGCAGAGAAACAGCAGCTTCTGTGGTCACCCTGATGTCCGTCCATCCGTCTGTCCATCCATCAATGGATTCCACCATCCATCCATCCATTCATCCATGGATTCCACCATCCATCATCCATCCATCCATCATCCATCCATCCATCATCCATCATCCATCCATCATCCATCCATCATCCATCCATCCATCATCCATCATCCATCATCCATCCATCATCCATCCATCATCCATCCATCATCCATCCATCCATCATCCATCCATCCATCCATCCATCCATCATCCATCCATCCATCATCCATCCATCCATCCATCCATCCATCCATCCATCCATCCATCATCCATCCATCCATCCCTGCCATGCCCACATGGGCCAGGCTCTGGCACTGTCAGATGCTGTTATCCCTGTCCAGGAGGCTTTGGAAGCACAAGGAGGATTTGGGAGTGCCCAGGCATTGCCCCTTTCCCCACATTTCCCTCCTGCATCGGTGTTTCTGCAGAGGGATCTGCCAACCCAGCCGTGCTCCCCGGGCAGCGACAGCACCCCAGAGCAGCCTGCTCCCTGAGGGAAGGGCAGCTCCCATTCACATTTGCCCAAACATCCAGAAAATTAGAATCTGGTGTATTCAGGGAGATTTATTTTCAATTACAGGTTAAGGCTGAGACATGAAATAGCACCAGGTTTGAAAGTAGTGCGTAAATCCTGCAACAAATCCATGCATCTCTGCTCCATAAGATTTTATTGATTGCTATATTGTATCTGTCAGAATAAAACTCTCTTAATGCATGCATCAGGATGGAGAAGATAGAGAGCTTGTTGGGAGTAGAATCTGATTCAAGAATCAATGCACTTTGATTAATATGTCGTTAAGAAAGTAAGAGTTATTTAACTTGTTTGATGCACATTTCGGAATGATGACTCATATCTTTTAAATTTCTTTCTTTGAGCTGCATTTCAAAAAACCCCCACAACCTTGGAGCTGTTTTTCACATTGTTAAATCTTGGTTTATCAGTGAATTTTTGTTGGATCTTTTTGCACAGGTCACAAATGCCCCTGAACCCCATTAATAATAAATCCTATGGCCCAAAACACTTCTCATATCCTGTGGTTAAGGCTTTGGAGAGAGAGCAGACCTGGTGTCTGTTTATTCCTTCTGGATGTTCTGCAGTGAGAGAGGAAACTCCAAGGAAAACAAAATAAAACAAAACCCACAACCCAACAACAACAAAAAGGAGTTGTTTTTCCACTGTGATTACAAATCCAAGCACCAAGGACAAGCCCTGGCTTAGCTGAGAGCATCCCACTCAGCACCGAATTCCCAGCTTGCTCCAAAAATGGAACATGCTGCTGCTGCAGCCGTGAATCCCAGTGCAGGGAACGATCCCAGTGACTCTGAGTGGTTTCAGTGACCTCCTGCTGTCTCTCTGTCATTTTCAGACTGAGCTCTCCAGTCCACAACTGACACCAGCTGCAGATCCTTGCCATTCCCAGCCCTGGCTCTTGGAGATTCCATAAAATCATGGAATAGTTTGGGTGGGGAAGGACCTTTCAAGGCCACCAAGTCCAACCCCCACCACAACTGCAGCACCAGGAGGGGCTGAGGGAGCTGGGAAAGGGGCTCAGCCTGGAGAAAAGGAGGCTCAGGGGGGACCTCATGGCTCTGCACAAGTCCCTGCCAGGAGGGGACAGCCAGGGTGGGGAAACAAGGGGCAGAATGAGAAAAAATGGTCTTAGAGAAGGTTTAAGTTGGATATTGGGGAAAATTTCTTCACGGAAGGGCAGTCCCCATCCCTGGAAGTGTTCAAAAAACATGGATGTGACACCTGGGGGGGTGGTCAGTGGTGACCAGGGTGGTGGTGCAGGGCTGATGGTTGGACTTGATGATAGTAAAGATATTTTCCAGGTAATTCCATGATTCTGTGATTTCCACCCCTTTGGATGGGAAAGGCAAAGCTTCCTGCAGTTTTCCAGCAGTGAGGAATGTGGTGTTTGTAGGAAGGGTCCCGGGCAGGTCATCCCTGGCCAGGCACAGCTCTTCCCTCCTCCCTAAGGAGCAGGAGTGGGATGCACCCCCATCCCTCTGGCACAGGCTTTTCCCGAGGTTTGGCTGTCCCCAGGGACCAGCAGGTGTTTCCCTGCCAGGGGAATTGCTCACATCCGTGGGTGGAGCACAGACACCTGAAAGAGAAAATACTTGAGGCTGATCAAGGCAGATTATAAATAGAAATGCATCTAATTAGCATCTTAATCTGCAGGTTTTCTGTTTGTTTGCAGTGGC